TCACGTTCCAACACTAGAAATCAACACTAACATCGGACGAATGACAATTCCGGCACCGTCTTGATATTATTCATCCTACAAGCTTCTCTCTAGCGATTTTCTCGATTTATGACCGACGCGACCGCATCTCTACAGAGAGCGAGAGAGGGAGAGAGAGGGAGAAGGAAAGAGAGAGAGAGAGAGCGATCCTCCGCGGACTCCGGACTGGAAATCGCGAGATCGGAATGCGATTCGCGGGTGCAGTCGCTATTAATCGCAACGCTCGCCGACCGCCACGGAACTCTCGACAAGACTGGAGGTTCTCTTGGTAGGTGAGGCCTGCCTCTTTCTCTCTCTCTCTCTCTCTCTCTCTCTCTCTCTCTCTCTCTCTCTCTCTCTCTCTCTTTCTCACGTTTACCAGGAGCGTACCCAACGTATACGTATCAGGTAGGATCTCTTTCGTGAAGAACCGATGAGTGTTTACAGGATGTGGGCGCGACGTGAAAAACTATCATCGCTAGTCGAGTGCTTTCGCAAGTTAATGTCGCTACGCTCAACCGCTCGAGAGACATATAATTCTTGAAAAATATTTTTCTTACGTGTCATACTTCTCATGTAATTTTATCATTGAAATTATATGTTTCGCAATGAGAATATATGATGCACGAATATATAATAATTACTCTCTTATCTAAAGTGGTTGTAATGATAATTATATAAAACAAATCCTAAGTTAATCCTATTAATTCTTTATGAGCTAAATTTATTCACTTTTCTGGTTCACTTTCGTGATTCAGAATTGTTTTTGTTTCCTATATCCCTTCAATCTTTCCGATATTTCTCCTATTTCAATTTTCATAGAAACTTTCAAAAATTACTACGACCGATTATATTTCACTTGTCGCATTTGAACTTTGTTATTATATACTTTGAAACTCAGGTGTTTAAATCAATAAACTTATACATATAATAAAAACGAGGTAATGTGTGCGTGTGTACGCGCATGCAAGATTGTATATAATTAACTTGAAAACATTGTGCCATGTTTATAGTTTTATACGAAATGATGAATAATTAATCAAAATTGCATCAATGTGTTATTAGAGTAGGTTTTGCATGCGTTTGTGAATATAATGAAAAACTTTGTCGATATACATAACATAATTTTATTTTCACTCTATTTTCGAACTACTTGATGTAACGCAGTACATTGTACGGCGCAGTTTATATGATGTGCCAATTAAAATTGCATCGATGCTATATTATAGCGATCTTATTACGTGTTGTTTTTATATCAGTTGACCGATTCAAATTGCGTCGATGTGACATTATAACACGAGTTATATCTTGATCGTAACGCACAAGACTTGACATTCGAATCGTAAAAAAAGTTAACTAGCGCATATATATATATATATATATATATATATATATATGTTGTAATGATCGTAATAAAATATTCAAAAATTCATACACTACAAAGAAAGAGAAAATGTAATAAAATAATTATGGAAAATAAAATGGATTTCAAGCACACACTATAAGAATTCACAAAATAAAATATTTTGCCTTTTATCGATTATTATTCCTTGATAAAATTGAGAAATTAGATAACAATGGTATTGATCAGATGAGTAGTGAATACAGCCCTGAGCATACAGCACGTATAGCCCTTCTCACTTTATCGATGCTCTTTATCCTTTTTTCTCTCTCACACACACACACTCTCTCTCTCTCTCTCTCCCCCTGTTTCTCTCGGTCTACTTCGTTCTCTCATTCCATCCTTGTCGCACCAGACTACTCGTTTTAAGTAGGATATCTTCGTCTCTCCCTCTTTCATCCTCACTGTTCAACCTGGCCGATCTTCTCTGCCATTTATACCGAAGTACTTCTCGGGCGAGTTCGTAAATTTTCGACACGAACGACAAAGAGGAGACCAGCGAAATGAGAGGTTACACAGAGGAGAAAGAGAGACAAGAGAATTGAAGACACAATGAGAATTAAGAACTGTTAAGTAAACATTATAAAGACGAGATAAAAATAGAAAAGATAAAAATATTATATATATATAAAATATAAAAACGCGCGCGCGCGTAGTACAGCTAAAAAAATTACAAAAACCGACCAGAAAAAAAGGATCACAAAAATAGTAAATTAAAAATTTGAAAGTGAATAGTAAAGTTTATTGTACATTCTATAATAATAGGATGCTATGGGATTCTTAGAGTATTGCACGCAAAATAATAAATAAAAAGAACATAGATACAATGCAAAAAGCGTGTAGACAGAGGAAAAAAAGACGCGAAATTGAGAGACAACGAGAAAAGTATCATTTCATCATCGCAGACAGGCAGAGAAATGGTGACACTGTTAACGAGAAAAAGGTAGAGACTAAAAGAGCGAGGAAGAAAGGGAGAGATACCGAGAGATACGGAGAGAGAGACGGAGAGAGACGGTGGGAAAGAGCGGAGTTAAATTGAGAAAGAGAGACAGATAAGGAGAGGAAGTGAGGAACGTAAGGGGGAATCCCGAAGGGAACGAGAGAGGAGAAGGTTCTCCCACGTAACCACGCCCCACGTTCGCCAACAGATTTTTACGTGCAGACCGAGGACGGAGAAGGGGAACGTCGAGGGGTCGAGGCAACCCATGGGACAACGCCAATGCGGTTCTCGTTTTCACCGTGAAAAACGTATCTCCACCTCTCTCCTTCTTTCCTCTAGCTAGCCAAGGTGGAAATGCATACGCACACATACTGTCACATGTGCGAATGTACAGAGAACATCGCCTAGAATTTCCTTCCCTCGGAAATACGTTGCGATCTTGCAGACACGCTAGAGCGACGTCGCGTGAGTCGCGCGTCTGGTCTATCATTGCGAGGACCCAGAGAGAACCGGGAAGGGACGGAAGGAAGAACGAGGAAACGGCGCATTAAAACGGTCGTGGAGAGATTAATTTGTTGGAATCGAGCAGTGTGCGTTTCTCTTATGATAGTACTCGCGCGCGCGGTCGGCCGCGTCTCTGTCGTCCTCGTCATCGTCATCGTCGTCGTCGTCGTCGTCGTCGTCGTCGTTTGCTCGTCTATGCACATCAGACGCATGCAACACGAAAGAACGTCCCGTTCCACTAAGCGGCAGCCGAGCGTGTGATGACCGCGGATAATAAGCGCTCCACATTCCCTTTTTTTTTCCATAAGCGGCAGTAAAGAAGAGCACCCATCGTGCACGAGCGTGTACCTTCCGCTTAAACAGTCTCTTTAAGCGGAAGAAACAAAATAAAGTATCGATTCAGTTACAGTACATCGCAGTTCGCCGTACACTGAACACGGAAGTTCCAGCTTATCTCTTTAAACGATGTATTGTCTACATTAATCCCTTTTTAATCATTATTTATCTGCACGTTCAAAATTTGAATATTCTGTGTGACTCACTTTTACGAAGTTGAACATTTTTTTAGAGATTAATGTACACTGCAATTTCAAGATTTAATTCACTAGTGATAATAGATAGGATATTACTTTTCATTTGCATAGAATGAGCATTTTCCATTCCATGTAAATATATAAAAACCGAATATGTTTAGAATATATACGATATAATCAGTATATAATATATGTAATGTATATAAAAATTGAATAATATTCATTGTTTATGTAAAAGGAAGAAAAGTTATTCACTAACTTTTACATGTGTAAATGAAAAATTATTACCTTCTCGAATAATGAATGTATTAAAAACTCAAAGTATTTAAAAATCGTCTGCTTATTGTACGTATCTCAGAATTGTACGATTAATGAATATTTCAGCGGATATTAATTAAGAGGATATTAATTGTAAAAGAGAAAATTATGAGCGTAACACTGACGGAGAGGCCAATTAACGAGCGTTCTGCATCTACATGTGACGTACGTTATGTCTCGAAATAACGTTGCATGAATTATGCGACCATTAATCCATTAGCTGCTGAGTTGCATTGTGATGAACATCTCTAAATTCGACAATATAAACTTTATACACTCATTGTGTCAAACTCTGCTTGTCAAATTTAGCGTGGGAGAACAGTAAAATAATGAAACCTTTTATTACGTACAAAGTGTTTCGAAAAGCGGACTTCTAGTTTTCTTATACACCTATAATGTACGTGAATAGCAATTTCAATTTTTATTTCTTCGTTAAAGCATCACAACTAAACGATATAAAATTTTTTCAAATTATACACATTATGATTTTATAGCTTCCTCATTTTGAGATTATTTTTTGTAAATTTCACAAGTTTTACAAAAAGCAATTTTTTGATTCAAAACAATTGAAGCAATTTTTCAAAAACAAAACAAGCATTAGACACTTTTTGATAAAGATAAATTACATAATCCGATTTCTTTTTCAAAAATTTTATTTTAAAAAATAATGTTAGTATAATTGATATCAAGACGTACACGATATCCACACGAAGCTACGATGTATATACGTGTTACGATTGATTTCTGGATTCCTCGCATATAAAACCCATTCGATACGATATTAAAAATGAAAAAAAAAAACAAAAGATACGACAAATTTATATCGTTGGAAAAATGCCACGCATGAAGATCTGGCCCCAATAAAGCACATTACTATTTCGTGCACCATTATACAAATGTCCACAGCGTGCGTTTTCTTAGAAAACAAATCTTCCATAACAAACGTTCCCTTATGATTATATGACCTATATTAGATTATGAATGTCTTCGTTTAACGGAAATGTCAGTTGAATGTCTAGAAATATACATGACCTTTCCTCCCTATTTTGGCTTTCGCGTGTAACTGTGAGACCAGATATAAATAAGTAAAAAGTCAATTAAACGAGCATACGTCAAGAGAAAGTTCATCGTGCTTTCTCACGTTTTTCACGTCGTGAATATGACAGTAGAAAAAAAAAATGGGAACAAAAGATGAAATCGTTTCCATACAAAGGGAAAGATTGTTTTGCTTCATGAGACAAAAATAAAAATATTATTCTATGATATCAAATTTGTATAATATTACCTTGAACGAGGGAGGAACATGGATCCATCGATGAATACAGAGCCGGAAAGAAGGATGTACCAACTTGTAGCCAACTCGCCGGTGCTGAAAATTATAACGTTCTATTTACTGTCAGCGTACGTACATTCTGTATACATTTGTTTAAAACAAATGAAGAATTATGTAAACGTTGTTCGAGTTGTAAAGAGTGTGTGTTCACGGTATATGATCATTGAAGATAAAAATGAATTAATTTTATTATCGCGAATTAAATTCCTCGTTTAATCATCTTTCTCAGTCAAGAATTCTTCCTCGTAAAAATTCATTTTTTTTTATTTACAAATAAATATAATATATGACAGAATACAAATACAAGCCTGTTAATATATACTTATAATACTGTAATGGATGCATACATGAAAGCTTTTATACAAAATGTCCCAGATCTACTGATAACACTGAAATATCAAAATACGCCAAAGTTATGATAGCCAAGTGTTTTCAAGTATTTAAAATTGATCGACCAAATGGTATCCAAAATTTGTGCGCTTAGACCAACACACGTATCACATATATACATAAACATATACATACATACATATATAAAAACATATATATATTGTATAGTAGTGAAGGTATTAGATATTCTATTCTCGAAATTAATTCTACATGTTAACATATACTTCTATATGCATTCTGCATATCTTATTCCTTTTTTGTTTGAGAGAAAACAAAACCGAGTAGCTCGTTTAAATCGATGGAACAATGGACACTTAATAAAACATACTATTCTTACGAATTACTTGCGATGATTTGAGTGCTATATATCTCTTTCTCGCGAAAAACGCAATCTATAGCGACATCTATAGTTTTGACTTCACAAGTTTCTCTCATGGTACACGAGAATATCGCAATTCGGTAAAAGAATCCCGCGGCATTATCATACTGTCGATAAAGAAGATTTCTGTAAAATTTAAGTTACATCTGAAGGTACAATGCGTATAATATAATCACATCTGCACATTTTGCATTCTGTACATGGTACATATATTACATATACATCAGGATTATAATTTAAGATGCTATAATTTAAGATGTTACATAAAATATTTACATGTTGTTTACGTTAAGTTTACATAAATATTTTTTATGCAAACAATACTAATAATAAAATATGGTAAAATTATCATAAACTGGATAATACAATTCAGTAAGAAATTATTAAGTTTTATGATTGTTAATATATGAGATTTTAATACTAATAAATAAAAATGTATAAGCGAAACAGAAAATTTAGTTCGGTTCCATTACAAACTTTAGTTCCATTGTAACGATTAAGGACAAAGGATATGATCGTTCACATACATAACACGTAAAACATAGTGAGTTTAAATTGTATACATGTAAAGATAAATTATCATATTTTACATTATTGTGTAAAAGAACAACCTGGTATATATAATTGCACAACCATCCGTAAGTTATTTTATGGGTTTTAGGATTGAAATCTCAGATATTTTCTTAAATTCTTCTTTCCACAAATTTCTTGTAAACATTTAAAATTATAATTAATCTCATAATTTTCGATTCAGGAAGCTTGAATATTCGATCACACGTCCATAAAGATTTAAATATGCCAATGCCCATATATTTGATGCATTTAAACCAGCTCTTCCAATAATAAACAATAAAGCGGACTAAATATTCAAGTTTTTATGATATTAAAATTTATACAATTTTTGTTAATAATGAAATTTTTTAATGCATACACATGTTTTCATTTTCTATTATATGCATGCATTTGACATCCCTTATCATTTTGATATCATATATAGCCCTTGTACAATTATAATCAAGAGTACTCAAAGTTGAACTCCTCTAATTAAATTATTAATATATTTCGAAATTAAATTAACACAAACACACGAATAATTTCAATGTTTCAAGATAAAAAGATATTGTCCTACATTCAAATGTACCAATCCTTTTAAACCAAAATATCTTGCTCTAATTTTAAAATAAAACACAAATAGAGGAATGCTGGTAAATAAAGAAATCAATAACTGGCAACTCTCCTAGATTATCCTGGTAAAGTTCCACAATAACGAAACTTTAAATTATACGTAAAATATATCTCTTTCTTCCACAAAAGTATTCCAATATTTGAGAAATTCTTGTAATTCTTCAAATTACGTTTCCCATTTCGTTGAAACGTATCTTTTTAAAACTATCTTTTTAACACAATATTCTTTGTTTCTTCAAAGTTGATCATTAATGTGAAAGCGATATATTTAATATGTAACGAGTTTAAAAAATATCTTATTAATTATATATAAATATTTTTTTGTTTGCTCGCGAAAATTGACGGAAAATGATTGATGCAAAACTGCATCACATTTTACGCGCTAAATAATAATCTCGTGTTTTCTGGGCCGCACTCAGGATGTAACTAATAAAGTACTTACTAATAAAGGACATGGTTCGCATGGTGTCTCTCGTAACGTACGATTTTGCAGAGCCCGCGAAGAACGGAGTCTCTACATGGACGTAAGGCCTCCAGACCCAGTAACCCATAATATATGATTTGCAAGTCCTGAAACAGAGCGGGGAATCCAAATAATACAAATGACGCTCGAATTTGAGGAGGTCCAGCTGATTGTCAGTCAGCGAGAATGAAATCTATACGATATTGTTGCTCATTGTTTCCTAATCGGTATTATCACACGCGTCTTCCGCGACGATCGCGGTAACTTTAACAGAAAATTGCAGTGAGCTAAAGTGATCGTCACGAATCCAATTTGCTTCGTTACCTCACTGTACTGATCTACTTATTTATTGGTAATGTAGGGCAAAGGAAATCGGTGGATCAGCCGGTCGATCAGTAATGGCAATAAATCGGTGTATAAAGGTGATCTATAAATTTCCGCGAATAAATAAACAAATGTATACCGTGCATTTATGTAGCATGCGCTATTTTCATCCGTTTCATGTTTTGCAGAAGCTCCTTCCCGCATATATCTCTCTCTAACTTCCTCATCTAATGTGTTTGTATGTCTAATATATAATTTTTAATTAACACTTTACCTGCTAAATCGATAAACAGCTTAATAAATCTAATATGTTACTATTTTACTATTTTATTATTTGTTTTATGTTTTATACATTTAATAAAATTATTCTTATATTCAGATAAATAGAACCGTCACTCACAAATGAATGATGGGACTCTTGTGAATTTTATGCATCATCCAAATACAAGTGACATGGCAAAGTGCGTAAAAAATATCACATCCATCATTTATTATATTTATATCCAAATTAAGCAGATGATTTAACACGCTATTCACAGTATTAGTTTAGATAAACTCTGTTATAGTTCAATAATATACAAATAATATTTAAAAGCCAAATAATAATCCAAAGCAGATTTTTCTCCAAATTTTCGTTACACGTTTTAACATTTTCAAATTAAAAATTACAAGTACTAGACGGGAAAGTTAGTCTAAACTCGCGTTATGTATCTTGTATACACGTATTGATTGAGTCGCAACAACATTCGTGTTGACGCGTTACAACTTTGATCCGTATACTGAATTATCGCAAATCTAATTACCCTCGAGTCACCTCCGTTAGATACGCGAGTGGGGTCGTCGCACAATTTCACGCTGGATCGCTGATCGAACTTGCCTACCCATCCATCCAACCATCCATCCATCCATCCATCCATCCACCCATCCATCTATCCATCCCAGCGGGACCCGTTTTCAGCTCTCCGAGCCAACTCTCGCCGGCGCCGTTTCGTCTAGATTGTTTGCGGATGCCGACCGCAATCAACGTTATACCATGCGAAAACGTACGACGCATCTAACCGATCTAAACTAAACCACCATGATGCCGAGGACTCAAAACGTGCGGGGATACCAATTTCGTTCGACTAATTCCGAAAATGTCCCTCACCGTGATAATTACATTTTCCCTCGTGCGATTACGAACGAATTATGCGGCCTATGTTCGAAACGCGTACGACGTACATTCCGTATATGTATAGCGGCAGCAAAAGCGATTTCCCGCGGTACGTCTCATTTTTCATTTTTACATTCTTCCTGCAACACACTACAATTCTCGCTACTAGCTTCGCAGAAGCGTCCGTCCAAAAATATTATACTACACATGCCGTGAATATCCTTATTTTATGCAAACAATTTTTATTTTGGGAAAAATATAAATATAATCGACGCAATCGCTTTTAAATTAATACCGAGACGAAGAGAAATCATGTCAAGATAAGTTATTAATTCTTCAAATTTTATTGTATTATATAATAAATGCACGTTTTACATTAAAAAAAGGAACTTCCTGATTTTGGTATATAAATTTTAGTAATTCACGTAATTAACGTTTTAAGCTTCAACTTGAGGTCTACCAGAATCTCAACCAGAATCGTCGGGTATCACAACGCGAGAGAACTTGGGAGGATTTATAAAACTGGAATTAAGCGTCGCCAGATGTGGCGCATCGTAGCGCAACAAACTCTCGAGGGAGACCAAACGAGATTATAAATATGCGAACGTGTACGTCTAAGTACCTCGAAGACGCTGCGCTGGGTCTGAAAACATTTCGCACGCAAAAGGGAGCGAAAGGGGACTCTCGCTCGACTTTACCAGCGCCGCGCGTTCTCGGATTCTTTTCTTCCTTTTTCGCACGAAAAGTGGAGCGAACACCGGACGACCTTCACGAATGGATCGTACGATGCGCGGTTCGTGTCCTGTAAGATTTTTTTAAAGGAAATCCACTCGCGGACATAAATCTAAATTATTGCTGTCCATCATGGACAATTAAGTTTCGATTGTTACGAAGTTGTGCTATCATTATACAATCAGAAATCGTTAATCAGTAATCTGACATTTTTATGCTATGCAGTAGAAGATCTAGAGAAAAGGAGATCGCATAAACTAACACGCACTACATCTTATCTATATATGTGTGTACTGCTGCTTTTTCTTTACATGAGGTATTTCCGAGACTACAAATTATCATCAAGTTCTCTTTACGAGTATACAGAGATAAAGCGTGTTATTTGAATAACAATTGTTTTATCATGTCACTGACATAAAGCGAGGTTGGATATACAGAGCTCTTCATTTTATTGAATTATTTTAATAAATACAAAACTTGTTTAAACGTGCCGATACATTAAACAAACGTTTTATTGTAAAATACGATATTCTTTCAGCCTTTTTCTTTCCTTCATGAGATTCTTTCCAAGAAGCTTTCAGTTCAGCGGTTAAATGTTTGTTGTTTTTAGAAGAATCTGAAGATTCAGCTTCACAATAACGTTTTTTGCGATAAATGCGAGAAAGTTACGTATATATATTAGGTGCGCAACTAAGTTCTCGCTGTTATTTTGACACTAGCAAAGAATCTTCTCGGTTCATCAACGATGGCGTAACATGTTGTCGAAACTCGCTAAGAAAATGTTCACCGGCGTCGTGCATATCGTGACGATGATTAGTATATAAACAACAAATTATTGATTTCCGCGTTCCGATAAAACGAGTTTTATAAAAGGAAGACTGAAAATTTCTATCCAATATTCCGGATAAACATTCCTCTATATCGGCCGGAAATTTATATACATATAATGTTCTTTTAAAAATATCATTTAAATTAGAAATATATGTATAATTGTTTAGAATCAGAAGTACGCGACTATATATTACTAATCTATAAAAACAATATAAATTTTAATTCCATACGGAGAAACGCTACATGCGGTTAAGAATTTTGTTTGCGTTTGTATCAGAAGATGTTCTCAGAGATCCGACCTCGTAATTAAAGAGAGTGTTCTTTCTCTTTGTATTTTAGTCGCACGCGTATGTTATCTGAGATGTTCACGACCTAGCAGTGCAAAGAATATATTGCTGTTATACTTTCTAAAATCTATTATCGGTCTACACAATCTACGACGTCAAGTTTCTTGGAAATATTCTTCATACATCGTCGATACGTTTCTCCTCCGGATTACTGATTTACAATATAAATGGATATCAATATCATTAAATGTTGAATGTTTTTCATTGGCCATAGGAAATATCGGTCTATCTATTACTTTTGAAAAATAAATGCCGTAAATATGCATGTTATAACTCAAATGTCATAAATAATAAATCTTTTTTGTCCTGAACGATTAAAAATTTCATGTATATAACGTGAAATCCAATCGAATATTAGAACCATACCGTACTAGATATCGTTATTAGATATTATTATATTTCGATATGTTAACGATATATTAATCTTTGATTAATTAATAGAAAAATTGAAAAATCAAGTAAAAGAGAAAGAATTGAAGATTCAATATACTTTGTTCCGTGACTCGATTAAGTAATTCAAGAGACAAATACTTGATTAATTAAAACTCGGAGGAATGAAGTAGAACTTGAACCGCGGAATACTTTTTAAACAAGCACGTTTCGTACATTTTTCACAAACTTTTAATCAACATTCACAGTACGAATGTAGCAAAAAGAGATCTGTTAATTACTTGGAAACTGATATTTCATTATATTCATTCATTTACAAAAAATGGAAGCGATTTCGTATTTTCACGAGTAAAAATATAAAATCTACATCACTCTAACATCAACTACATATATTTATGATAAGTCATTAATGAAGCATGACAATTAAAATACGTCCGTCTCATTTCATATTGTTAAAAAGTTTCTCTCGAGATCTCATTGACATTTTATCGTATTCTTTTTCAGTAAAAATGAAATAATTATCAGTCTATGGAAGATCTACACAAAGAACGATGTCTCGATTACATAAAAGTAACAGAAAGTTGATAGTTTCGAAAGTTCAGATAGCACTGCCTCAAGATACAGACGATGCCCTTTAACCTTTACGCTGGCGCTGCTGTGTATGTACGTGTTTACAGATCTGGATAAATGTGTGTGTGTATGTGTGTATAGTCATGCGATCATACAATTTGCACAGTCATAATTGTACACTGTGTCCATTATACAAATATTAAATGAATAGACTGTGTGCTCATAAAATTGCTCGCAAAATTAATGGGGGTATCTCCATTTAATTGAATATTTTCAAAGAAACCCCCAAGTATTATTTACCCACCTGAAGGGTCCGTCTTTCTGGATCACGGCAGAGAGCCCGAACAAAATGTGGATCCAAGTAGTCCGTCATAATAGCCCGTAAGACTATACCACGGTCCTTTTCTTAACAGCTCTCGCGTAGTTCCGTGTCTTGCTTAAATACTCGTTCCTGAACATCGCCACCACCCCCGATCGAAGGAGCGATCTTCGATTTTCAATGACGTACGCACGACACCGTGTCAACTGTTTGTAAGACGAGCCGTTCTATCATCTTATCAGCCTTCATGCGTTGCATCCTTCTTTCGTGAAGATAGTTTCGATCTTTCCGGATATTACCAACTGTATATGCATCACGCGCGATACGTAAACTTCAGAGTAACGGAGAACATACGATATCTCCGTACAACAATATCTTGGCAATTCTTCAGCATTTCTATAACAGCTACAATGCGTCCTTCTCGATTTCGTCGTCGATACGAGATTCTGTAACAGAAGACAGATAGAAAATGTAAGTAAGAAAAATAAGTCACAATTTGGCATGTCATTTTAACTATTTTATTTTACGCTGAACAATCAATTTTCTGTTCTTCTTCTTTTATTCAATTTTCTTTTTTTTTTTTTTTGCAAATTTCAAATATATCGTAGATACTTTCTTAAGGAAATGATTCACGAGCTTTTTTTCTTTTTCGTACAGATTTGAATTTCTCGATGACGATATAAAATGCACCGTTATGAATCACGAAACACGCAAGTAGAATTATAAACGCGATCGGAAGTCGCTCGTTAAGGTGCACCTGCAGATGTAACACGTATCGACCAAACTGGAAACGTCAACATGTTGACCTTTAACTCCTTCAGAGCTAAGAAGATCAGTGGAAATTACGTCTGCTTGCGCAGCACTTGGAGCATCGTTGACATGAATTAATAATCTTAGCTCATTATCAGTAAATCGTGGTAAGCACACACACATATATGTAAACTTACACATTACATTAAAGATAGGATTGAAAATAATAAACTAATAAATAATAATAAACTATATAGATCATTTCGATATCAGATCAAACCATGTGTAATCAATTTATGAATTTGAATATATAGAAATATATGTTTTGCATTACGTAAAACTACTTACTATTATAATACATGTTATAATAAAATAACGTAAATAAAAGATCTAAACATAATTACAGTGTTGATAAAAAAAATTTATATATGATAAAAAATACAATAAATGAACAAAATTAATAAATGATTATTCACACAACACAATAAATGAATAAAAGAGTGTACGTATTATATGAGGATTGCCCGTCGAAGAGGAAAGAGATTAGATTCAATCGAAAATAATTTTATGTAAAACACAAAGAATAAGGAGAATTACGCGATGTTCAATTTCTGGAGTCTTCTTTCGACCTTGGAAATAACGTCACGCGAGACACGTACCTTAACTACCTTGAAAGCGGTAAGTCGAGGTCATGCAAGTATATCTCGGCGCTACGTTCAACATCCATGAACCCAACAACGCATTTTAGAGGTTCTTGATCCTTAAGGAACGGGACTGGGTCTCGCTTCGATTGGATCGTAGCACTTAAGAATTTATTTCATTATCACGACAACGATTTAATTTAAAGTGTTTACGTAACCGGTATGTAACATCATTCGCAATTCTCACACACATAATAATCGTATTAATGTGAAATTATGCCTTATAAATATGTGAAACAACCTCTAGCTTTTTATATAAATAGATTTGCGCTGACTTGTCCACTGGTATGGCAGAAGATAATTTCAAATGTGCAAACTAGCGACATTTTTTTTAAATAATCAAGGAAAAGTGGAACATTTCGTTTCTTGATTGAAAGGAGACAAAAATAACTTGTCGGACACGGACAAGACAGATCGATCGCGACCTCGAATGTATCCAATCGTATATATCAGTCAGGTGTTTCGTGTATTTCCTCTATTCACCTACAATCTCAACTAAAAAAGGAACTTTATAAACTCGTGCTGTCGAAATGATTCTACCGATACTCATATATAATTCCTCTGTTCATCAATCGATTCTGCTATTCGAGAATATTCTCTTCGCATTAACCTATTATCCATCAGAACAGTTCAAGGTTTCGAGATATTTTATTTTATACCAAGATAAAAACAGAGAAATGTATAAAGAGTTATTAAGATTTACGCTGTATCCTGTTTGTTTTGGAGATGGCAAACAAGTGATTGAATATAATTTTTCGTTTTAACACAATATAGCTTCATCAGATACATTACAATCACTTCTAAAGAAAATCTCCGAATCACCTTATGCATTCAACAGAATTTCCTTCCTCTGAACGAATTATCATTTGAATTACACGTATGCCGAAACTTGTTTACGAGCTTCCGCGTTGCATGAACTTTCACGCGCGATCGTTCAAGAGTGAGAAAGCAATCTATTAGGAATAAAAGTCATACGCGAACGAAGGAACATCTCGAAAGGGCTGGCAAGACGGGATAGAGTACGAAGAAGATCGGAACTTCGTCGGCCTTGCGAATCGTTTCTGTTTAGCTTCGTACTACTTGTTTTTTCCTCTTCATCGTCGTCGTCGTCGTATTCTTCTTCTTCTTCTTCTCTTCTTCTTCTTCTTTTCCCGCCCGAGGCCCGACGGGGCCTCTTTCTTTCTCCCCTTCATGAAAGAAACTCGCTGAGTCCGCGTCTCGTTCACAACTCGCCTATGCACCACGAAGCGAAACAAAACACGTCGTTAAACAAAAGCATGGCACGCGGGAGGTGCAGGCGTATATATCAATTTACTAATCGCGCTCGATCATCGACCATCGAGTCAACTCATAACGATCCGTAATTGAGGATAGGGGATGGGCGGATTGATGCCGGCTTCAACAACGGTGGATCCGTAATGAGTTATTGTCAATGCGCGTTACTCTCGTGAACGTGATTTCGCATGTAGGTCGATTGTCGTTGAGTCGAAACGTCATGAACAACTGTTATCAACGACGTGTAAAAATCTACGAGCTGATAGTATCGTAACGTGGGCGTGGCGCGGATGGAGATCCAGATGCCGTGATGCAATATTATGGAGCGACGTGTCCGATCTGTCGGTATGAACAGGTATGATGATTCACTATTCGTTACAAGTTGATTTCATTACGTAGAAACGACTGAACCGCAATGATATATATATATTAAATAACGTATAGAATTAGCGGAAAAATACTGCGTGTTAAATCAACTATACGATGCAGTTACGACGCTATGAAATTATAAACCTTGGTTTTTTTTTTCTTTTTTCATAATATCTATGATACGATTGCTCGATCTTTATCGGAGTCTAATCAATTTACAGAAGATAATTTCAATCGATGAGAAAAGGATAATCCAAGCTGTTATTAAAGATTGCGTCACGGCCTGTTTACAGCGCCGTGCTTTCCTAGACAACACGTTGGTCCAACCAAGAGTCAAATCTGTCTTCGGCCGCGTAAACGGCCATATGTAAACGGCTCATCGATAAAAATATCCTCGGTATATGGGGCAGTTCGTAAAGCTGCCTTCCTATATAAAATGAGACCTACAGAGACCACAAATACTCCGCTTTTAATTCTAATATCTGATGCTCAGCTTACACAATTACATTTGTATTACGATCGGATTACATTGCCGTACGTCACAATATATTATATTAACAGTATTTAATCTTTATTTCACTAGACAAAGTGACAGTGAACAGAACGTAGGATTTTAAAATTATCCATAACATTAAATGTTACGTGAAAGTATATATATATATATTTGAATATATAGAAATAGCAAGTAATATAGAAATAAATTAATTCTCTTTTATAAAAATATTTTAAAAATTATACAAATATTCTTCATACAATAATGTAATAATATTTCTCCTCTCTCTTTAAATCATCCGTATTACATTTTTTTAAAGATTTAATTAGGACTTGTAACGTATAAAAAAATTATTTAATTTTTTTTCAATATTAAATGTATCAAGTGTTAGCTTCATATTATTGTATGAAAATAAAACCGGGGATACGAAAATCTCGACGAAAATATAACAGTTAATACCACGCGCTATTAGTTAAAAGTTCGAATTGGTAAATCAACTGTATAATTATCGGGTTAATAATTTCTCTGTCTGATAAGTCTTTCTTCTTTCCTCATCGCACGTTTAGCATAGATAAGAACAATACTGTCTTATTTGTTTAGCGTAAGACTTGTATCGCCGCCAAGCGAAAATCGTAACAACAGTATCGCGTGTTAAGCGTACGGTGAAAATATCGGTGGCTGCAAACTCCAAGATTGCTCGAAAAGTTACACGCCACGGTAAGATATTCGAGGTAATCCGAACCGCTGATCGTTGAGACAACCGTGCGGATTCACGGATCCGTACGTAAGCGTAAACGTGCCGTGACCATCGTGAAACGAAATGCTTGCAGGTGGATGGATCCGTTGGTTAAAAAGTACACACACACACATGTATGCCCGTCAAGCGAGTAAATCGAGAAATTATTCGAAAGAAAGTTGCAAGCATTTTTCCAAGCTGCCTACGGAGAAAAAAAAAGTTCATCAATATCTACGAGAATTAGATTCAAGCGCGAAACTTCATCACGCGCTCGCGCGCATCGATCTCACAGATCGGTGACAGCAGCGAGAGATCTATATTTCAATCGAATTACAAAACATGCGCGATTAGAATTGGGATAAACAGCGTTTGTCGCCCGTTTGTCACTCGCGCTCGGATATTCGGCGAACGAGCCAGATACGCTGACGGCGATGTTTCGGACAGTGTACAATATCACAAAGGGCCGTCTGTTAAAAGCGCGACACGCTGCTACAGAACGCCCTTCATCTCTTCGGCTTGTCCAACGTATGTTTCTCTCTTTGACAGCTTCATGCAACACGGCGCAAAAGAACATAAACGTCCGAATAATATGGTGGATCAATGGTGATGTATTTGATGTCTCTATTCTTTCGTGTCGTGAAACAATCGATTACAATTTATGTGCTGCTTCTCGCGTGACCTCCTTTTAGCTTTTTCTATAATTCGTACTAGGTGTCATCGATCGCACGTGTTCATTCATTTACTGCTACTCGCAAAAAGACGCATAGTAGTTCAAAAATTATCAATCTTATCAAGTCCTTCTAAGAAAATTTCACTATTCGTCAGCTGATTTCTCGAAAGACGCTTGGTAGTGCAGTATCAGATGTCTGCTATTGATCGTTGCCTTTTTCGCATACATATATTTTCCACTGCAGTCTCCTGCTAGAATAACTACATACATTCGATGTGTATCGTACATATACATATATAGTATATATAGTATATATATATATATATATATATATATGTATATATATATATATTCAAAAACAATATTTATAACATATTTATTACGCAATAAGTAGATAACATAAATTTAGATTAAAAAATTTTAACACGACACATTACATTAACCTTAATCGA